AATTCGAGAAACACCAGGAATGATAGAGAGAGTAACCAGATGAATGACAAGACGCGTGCAGGCTTGTCTTCAAATGCAACGCGGTCATTTCGAGCATCTTTTGTAAAAGTAATCAAAATTCATTATATCTCATAAAGACAGATGGGACATATATTTATGTGTACTCTTTTTCATTATTTTTAGGCGTACAATCAGCTTCCGAAGTGGGTCCCACAAGTCACGAAACACCCTGTATATACGAAAGAATCAATTACACGGAGAAACAGATTCTAGAAAAGAAAAGAGATTCGAATGGAATAACAGAGAGTAACTGAAAGACAGAGGAAAAGGAATAAGGTAGAATCAAAGGGCAAAAAACGCCAGGACAAAGTGACGCTGACACAGTGACGGGGAAGAGAGAGAAATATAAAAGGAGAAAGAGAAAGAGGTAATATAGGAACTCGTGCAGGAGAGATAGAGAAGGAAACGTACAACAATTTCTAAAGGAGATGGTAAAGATTAGATGCGAAAAGGACGTCGCGAGGAATGGTGAAGGAAGAAAGGCAGAAATGGTAAAAAGAAGAAGAGAAAAAAAGAGAGACGGAAGTGAAAAAGAGAAACGAGATGAGAAAGGGCATCAAGATGTGGGGGTGGAACGGTCACAAAAGAAGTAGTAAATGGCGTGGTACTGATGTCCAGAAAAGAAACGGGAAAGACAGGAAACAGAAGAAGAGAATTGATCAACAAGATTGAGGAAGAAGTAAAATAAATTAGGGTGATATTTCCAAACGAGAGATCCTCGTGTTTGCCAGTTAAATGGAGAAGTCGAAGGATCTCTGATAGTGCACACTACTCAAGATAATTAGATTCTATTGTACTTGATCGAAATGAAGAAAAACGAAGAGATCTCGTGTGTTTAACACTAGAACTATCGACGAGTGTAAAATGTTGTTACAGAGTAAAATCTGTTACAGAGTAATTAAAGTGCAAGTGAACAAAGAATTCGTAATACACGACGAAGGACACAAGCTTCTATTTGTATATATTTTACCAGACATCATTCGACTTACATTCTTTAGAAATACACTGTTATAAATATATAAAGTTTTCTATGGAAAATTACAAATTGATCGCTAATTTTTACCACTTTCATAGTTCCAGTGTTAATATATATTAATTAAATATCCTAAATATATATTAAATTAAAAGATTAATCTCTTTTATAATTTAATAATATTTAAATTAACTCTTTTATAACTTAATAATATTTAAATTAATTCTTTTGTAATTTAATAAATATTTAAGTTATAACTTAATAAATTTAAATTAACTCTTTTACAACTAAATAATTATTTTTAAAATAATCGAATTTTTAACTGGTTCGAGCAGAACATAGAAAAAAAAAAGAGGAAAAAGAGTTTGATGGAAAATCGCATTTACGAAAGAATAGTTGAAAGTTAAATGAAAATACACTTAAAAGAACTGACTGCTCTCTGCCAGCAATATTTGTCACGTGCTAACAGAACGTATGAAAATTCGTGGAGTACATTGGATTAGTAACCTACTTGGAAACGTAAAAAAATTGCGGAAACTCGTTTCGGGAGAAGTTTCACGCGAATACGTTACACATTCGGAATTCGAGATTGAATGTATGCGTCTGATATAAAGTAGAGAGCAGCAGGCATGCGTGTACAACGAACGTGTTTTGTTAAGAGAAGATTAGAACGGCTACAGCTAAGAACACACACTATAAGAAGAATAAAAATAGAAAGAAAACCCCGCCAGTTTCTCCATGTTACCCGCCCCGTCAGAAACTTATGCGTAAAACGTCAAAAATATATGTACTAGTAACTAGTATCACGAATAGTAAATCTCATGGTAATTTCATGTCGTACGAAGCCGCAAAAGATGTCACTAAAAAAACGAAATACAGTTTCGTAGATGGCGTGCAGATTTCGTCGAACTAAATATATTCGAGTGTTTAAAAAATTTTGTCAATAACCTTGTCGTATAATTTTTATCTTCGTGTTTTCCTCGCTATTTGATTTGATATTACGGATCTTGCGACGTTCGCGAGTGTTTGGAACCAAAATTTCTTTTTTCGACAGCCTGAAAATCGCGCGAGATTGAAGATTATAGGGAAAACAAAAATATCGAGAGAGAAAGTAAATGATCAAATGGGGGCCACGAAATCTGCACCGATCTGACATCGCTACTTCTACAGTATAAAAAAAAGGATTGGTGCAAAATTGTTCCAACAAATCGGTAGCAAAGGCCAGCGAGTTAACACAAGAATGTACAAAAACAAAAACAAAAAAGAGAGAGAGAGAGAAAGAGAGAACGTTACTACACGATAAAACCAATTTCTGCCCAACTGTGTCGTAAAAAATCCCAAAGATACATTCAAAATACCAAAAAAGTTACCAAACAGAAACAAAAAACAACAGCTAGCCAAAAAAGAAGAAGAAGAAAAAGAAAGACTCCGGTAGGAGAGGGAGAAACGTTCAAAGGACATAAAGAAAAAAAAAAAAGAAAAAAAAAAGATGAAAAACCGAGGTGATGGGTGATAGAAATCGCGTAACCGCGCACGTAATATATAAATAGTATATATATGTACACGTTCCACAAACGGAGTATCAGAAGGAGTTACATTAAAAATTGTGCGAGATCAACAATATATAACAGGCAGAGAAACAAAATCTCGCACTATTGTGTCCTTTTAATGTGTCTTTAGATGTTTCGCTGTACATGTGGCACGCGGAAGAGAACGTTCACGTGTCCGCGTGTCTATCACGTGTTAAACGAAGCATTCTCGAATCTCTAATTAACACCTTGAGTCGTTTCTCTGTGAGAGAAACGTAGTTCACGAAACGTAGTTCACGAGCTTCGAGAAATTTGCCTGAAACGTTACAAATCAAACGTGCAACATTCGCATCGTGAGATGATTGATTTACAACCTGTTGGAGGTTGGAAGATTTATAAGACTCTAGACTATAAGAAATTGACGGAAGCGAATGAAATATAAATCTGATCAAGTAACGACAATGTTGTTGTCAACGCTTGGTTATCGAGTAAAATGCTTCGCGTGACACGCAACGACACAGGGCGTTCGTAAAAGTTCCCTAGAACGAGTGTTTGAACGTGTTTGGTGAAAATTGTATGAAATTGGCAAACGTACTGATCGCCCGATTGCTCTACGATGTTCTGTATATATATATATATATATATATATGTGTGTGTGTGTGTAAGTGTACGTGTTGTGACGTTTGCGTTTGCATGTGAATGATGTGATATTATATTATTGACAAAGTTTGTTTGTGTGACAAATGTTTGTTTGTGTGTGTGTGTATGACAACCAATGGCAGCGAGAACTTACTCGCTGGCTTGGGGGAATGTCATCCCGGTAAAGGACGGGGAGAGGGTTTCCGTGTACATCTCGCAGCCCGTGCCCTGCAGGTAATCATTCTGCCACGCCTGAGTATCCGGCGACTGAAACACCAACCAATCAAGCCCCACGTCATCAAACCTTTCAAACATCTAACTAGAGATAGACTGGCTGAGACCTGGCACGAGGAGGGACGCTGACCGGGCGGTGGTCTGCATCTCGTCGTGCAGGCAAACAAGGTTGAATACATTTCGCGCGAAATTGTTCATCGCCGTCGTTTCTCGAGTAACAGAGAGAGAAAGAAAGAGAGAGAAAGAGAAATAGAGAGAGAGAGAGAGAGAGAAAAGAAAAAAGAAAAAAAAACGACAGATTTACCACGAGTAAAGACTCTAAAATTCAATTGGCACGCACGGTGTGCCAATTGTTTTCGCATTCCGGAAGAGAGAAATGTTCGATCAACCTCTTGCGCTGGAATGACGCGCGTCGAGAACGAGAAATTTTGTCCCACAATCGTCATATTTAAGTGAAAACGAAATCAGGGCAGAGCAGATAAATAAATTTATTTCACTCGTCGATTAATTTCTCGACCACTCTTCGACAATAATTTAAAGCCGCTCGTTATGGTCCGCAGTCAGCTGCCAGGCGCAAGTGGTCAATATCGAATATTCTCCTACGGAGATATATCTATCTACGGTTCGTCGTGCGCACGGACTATTTTACGCGCGAGCACGTCACACTCGCATCGTGTTTTTTTCGGTTCATTCACTGGCGGTTGGCGGCGAGGACGAGCAGAGCCAGTAGCCCGCTGAAAATTTTCCGTTCGCTCGTCTCGCGCTGGATGTACTCCAAATACAAATGAGATATGAACGTAGAGCTAACACCATCCCTCATCGTTCTCGACGGATCGTGATGTACAGTTCGATAACACGCACGTGAACTGTGCCTAACAATCGAGCCGACCGATTGCAAGATGTTGCGGTTCGTCCGCTCGTAATTGGCGATCGAATTGTGCTCGATCGGTCGGGCACGAGCGCTATTTTATGCACGAATGCAGAATGCCCTAAGTGATAACTAGTTTCACCGCTGCTCACGTGCAAGCGTTAACGTTCGTTCCTGAAGCATTAGAATCGTCGGATTTCGAGACCGAACGAATCGAGTCGAGTCGAAGTGACACCTATTTGTTCCTAATAGCTTACCTATCGTCCACTTGCCGTTAATGCTCGCTGTTGTTGCAAATCTTTCATCCTACGTACGATAAACACTCGAACCCGGAACGAGTACCGTGGAACAAGTTCGTTTGAATCTCGAGATTTAGACGCTCGTAAATTGCCTCGAGTAGTATGAGAACATATGGGAAGAATTATTTCAAGAATGTTGTTGCGCGCAAGGATATCCGCGTACTGAATATACGGTCGATCAAAGTTGACTTTTAACGATTCGTAGTTGAGCGTCGATGATTCATTCAACGATCTCATAGTTCGCTTCTGCAGTACAATCTGACGTTTACGATGCTTGAAAAGAACGAGGGATGACAGATTGCAGATTGAATTTCCTATCGAAGAGCTCGAGGACGAACAAAGTTACCTCGCGTAGGCAACTTCAAATATCACCAACTGAAATGTCTCAAATTATTTCAAATATCCGACAAACAACAACGGGACGATCTAAAATTGTTAGAAATTATTATTTTTAATTAGAATTTGATTATTCGGTTAGAAATTGTTGGACTAAAACGACTATTTAATTTTTATTTATTAGAATTAATAAAATAAATTATCAAATTAGTCAGATTGAATACTTATTAAAATTACTTATACTTATACTTATTACTTAATAAAAATTAAATAATTATCAAATTACTTAATAAAAATTAAATAATTATCAAATTACTAAATTAAAAATTAAGTAATTATCAAATTAGTCAGATTGAATGCTTATTAAAATTATTTATACTTATACTTATTACTTAATAAAAATTAAATAATTATCAAATTACTTAATAGAAATTAAATAATTATCAAATTACTTAATAAAAATTAAATAATTATCAAATTACTAAATTAAAAATTAAGTAATTATCAAATTAGTCAGATTGAATGCTTATTAAAATTACTTATTTATACTTATACTTATTACTTAATAAAAATTAAATAATTATCAAATTACTTAATTAAAAAATTAAGTAATTATCAAATTAGTCAGATTGAATTTAAATCAAGTACTCTGCGATCCAGGCGATACTCGCCGGTCGAATCGATATCGTACGTAGGACTCACAGAAAAAAAAAAAATAAAAAGAAGAGTGAAAATACAAAAAAACGTTACGGAAGCGATTAAAAGTGGTTTACATCGATTAGGTGTAGAGCACAGATACGGTACTGTACAATATACAGTTAATACGTTCATGTACTATAGATATAGATATAGATATATAGATATAATCCATATAATATGTATATAGCGGAGTGGAGCGTAGTGAAAGACATAGGCGAGGCGAAGCTTCATCATCCTTTTTTTTTTTATTTCTCTTTTTTTTTTCTTTTTCTTTCCGATTCAAGAGACTGCGAATACTTTTCCAGTGATTCCGCCTGGTCGTTAACGCGCGAACGCGAAAAACTGGTCGAATCCACCGTTACTTTCCACCGAGACAACGAATTCTCCAACGAACTATATTCTTTTTAACGACGAAAGCACTTTTTAACTTGTCACTCTAGATTCTAGACTCCACGTTCATTAAAAACACCGAACACCGAGAGTGAAAAGAATAATCGTGTCATCTGTGTTCTTTGACTACGTTCCTTCGTGCTCAGCAATTCGCAATTTTTACCAATCAGATTATTAAATACTATAGAAAGTTCGGCAAAAGTAATTGGAATTTTATATCGTTCAATTTCATCGTTATGCGTTTATAATAATTTAACATTAACATTATATTTAAATTCAAAGTTTTTATTAAACCTATCTTTCGTTGATATTATTCTTAAAATCAAGAATATTTCCATTTCATAAATGAACAATTTTTTGTTATGAAAAAAGAATTCGTATTAATTCGTTAATATTATTTCACTGAGAAGCTCGAATCGAAGCTGCTCTTGTTAATAATCGTTAAGACAGAAACAGGATTGTTACTGAAAGAACACGAGGATTCAAGGCCAAAGAAATACGCAGATAATTCGTAAAGTAGGGGTACACATATTTCGAGCAAATAAATGTAACTTGATTGTTACTTTGATAAAAATACACTGTGTGTGTTCGTTTCAAATGTACTCACCTAATTTATTCCTCTAAGTGTTGGAAATACGAAAAAATATTGGTACCAAGAGTTACATATCATGGTGGCAATCGACCTTGAGACGACATTGGAAAGTCAAGTCACGTTTAAATTTTTTAAACTCTATACTTTATTATATATTCTTTCTTAATTATATTTATATTATATTTTCTCTATTTATATCTCATTATAATATATATATCTAATTATATTTATATTATATTTTCTCTATTTTATTATATATTCTTGCAGTTAAAATATCAAGACTGCCTGCTATGTGTATTTTTCACAAATTATTGTTGAGCTTTTAAATTAACTTTTAAAGTTTAGTTTCAAGGTTTGCCAATGTACAGAAAAAAGAACTTTCTTATTAAACCTGTATTGTTAACAGAGTCTTTCCCTTATTCAACCTTACTTTCTTCAACGAAAGTAAGAAAAATATCACGCAGTGTTCTATATTGCCAAGTCGAAGCCTCACTTTGATAATGTTTAAACAATAACCATCGCATCTGAAAGATTTTCTCGTATTTCTAATATTTATAAAAACAATCAGACGAGCACACTTGAAACGTATGTATATAGCGTATATTCGGAAACAATAAATATGTCATACTCCTCGCCAAGGAAACCAAAGATATAATACTATAAACAAAAGACTAATTGTTAGACAATGTGCTGCGTATTTCTCGGATTCGGCAAATCATCGATCACGTCCGAATCAATTGTTCAGAGTTATTAGGAACTTGGCGAAACAACTAAACGGATCTAAAAAAAAAAAAAAAAAACGGCTGGTTATCGTATTTAGCGAGTTTTGTTAATTCGATCTATCCACACAAACGAGCGGAACCACAGAACTTCCGTCTCTTGAATCAGATATGCAGGTATCTGTTGGATGTTGGATTGGTCATGGACCGACTTACTCAGTGGCTTTGGCAAAGGGCATTCCAATGAAGGTAGGGCTCAGTGTTTCGGTGTACATCTCCATTCCAGTTCCACGCAGGTAGTCATTCTGCCAAGCCTGCATATCGGGTGACTGGTACCAATCAACCAACCATTTCTAAATTACACACGCTCCTATGCATGTACGGATTCGCGCGTTTTTGCTCACAGTGGCACGTGTCCTTTCTTTTCCGTTTCCTCGCTCCTGATCCAATTTGCATACTCGCGATAAAAAAAAAAAAAAAACAGAAACGCTCGACAACAACAATACTCACAAACGCGATAAATAGCATTTCACGCTGTATCGTTGTGAATTTCGAAAGCAACGAGAATTTGGAAATGGGAAGATGTATCTCGCTGTTGTTACAATTGCAAGAGAGCCGCGAGCACACTCACTGTGAGCAGTCAAACAGTGAAAAAAACCTAAGGAACCTTGTTCACACATGCATAGATGAGAAAAAAGATCGGCAGATTTTCATGTCTGTCGTCCGTAGAACGACATTCTACTGACCGTCTTGAACGAACGCATGGCGAAGAGGTTGGCCATCATCGTGCTGAAACCCGGCGCCAGGCAGGACTGCGCGATGAAACCCAGCTTCAATTCGGCCAGGCAGATCACGTCGTCGCCCTGCTTCCAGTCCCATGATGGAATGTTTAATAAGTAGGCCTGCGAAAAAGAATTACGCCCGTTATTATTCCAATGTAACGCCTGCCAGAGTTGCGCTGGCAACTGACTGCGGACCATAACGAGCGACCAAACGACCGTGTACAACAACTCGTCGCTTCCTTTTTGGCCACGCCGGTACGATAACACTGGATAGAAATCATTGAGAAGCAACAAAATTTATTATTTTAGTATACTTAAGTAAATAAACTTAAGTAACCTGATATATTTATTTACTTAAGTAAACAAATATACTTAAGTAAATAAATTTATTATTTACTTAAGTTTTACTTAAGTATACTTAAAACTGAGAAAATATTGCGACTTTGGAACAAAAATTCTCAACGTGCGTGGTACGTCATTCCAGCGCAAGAGGTTAAAAGAGGTCAGGATAGTTTGAAATTTTCAAAAAATCGATTTTTTTTTTTTTGTTTTTTGTTTTAAATAGTAGTTTGAAGTCTTAGAAATAAGATATAAAAGGTCCTAGCCTTTCAAACGACTTATTTTAGGGGATAATAATAATCCGCGGATACAGAATCATTGAATTTGTATCACTGTTTACGACTCTAAGTAGTATTATAAAGTGTAAATCGTGTGATTCGAATATCACTTTTAGTGAATCAAATATTAGGAGACTTGGATTCAATTTAGTCGTGAATTGTAAGAACTGTGAGCAGCGATATATAAGTAAAAAAAGTAAGTAAAGGGTACATGTGAAAAATGACGTTCTGAAACTTTAAACCTAAGCGTTTTTCTCGAAACTAGGTTTTTAGAAACGTTGTGCAAGATATCTAGGAATCTAACCAACCGATTACTGTGAAACGTGGTACGTATTTTTGGTGTAACACTTACTGGGGATTGACGATCGAGCATTTTTTAATTTTTAACAATTTCCAAGAATATAAACAAAAAACGTAGAAATTTTTGGCATAAATTCGACACATCGACAAACAAATAGCTGCTGTTTTCATAATTTTCACAGAAATGAAAATGCTGGATCGTCAATCGCTAGAGAATATTGTTTACTTTTGAACTTTTCTCGCCTTTTTGTTGCAGATAATCCTGTTTGGCTGGAATCATGCACACCGACAGGCAATGTAAAAAAAAGTTACGTAAAAGGATAGCCTTAGAAAAAGTTAAACAAGAGCCCTCTTTTTTTCTCTTTTAATGTTTCTTCTTACAGTTCATAATGGATTGAAATAAATCACAAAAGCTCATATCAATCAAATATGTAGCTTTTCTTTTACTAGCCCTCCAAAGTGTTCGTAATTTTTAGGCTCGTCAAAACTGTCCTGCCCCCTTAATAAGTTAAGAATTTAATTCTCGTGAAAGCCGTGACTAGAGAGAGGCTTGTCGAAAAATTTTCGCAAAGATTTGATATTGATTGTCAATTGATAGAGTAATTAGTTTTGAACTCGTTTGATTCGGACTTTAATTGAAATTAATAAAATTCATCGGAGGTATAAGAGAACACTGCAGTACTGGCGTGTCCATTAGTCACCAGAAAGATACCAGAAAAACAGAAATGTGATTTCAAGCAGATCACGCAAGAAAAATATCAATAATCATTGGGTGCAAGAGGCGTTGCACCAGAGCTAGAGCTCTCGTGAGTGCCTCGACCTTCCTGGTCATATCTCACAGCTACGCTCCACCCACCAGCTCGCTCATCAGAAGGTGACGAGCTGGATAAATTGCACCGTCGGCTTTTAATCGGTTCATTCAGAAAAAGAAAAGAAATAAAAAAAATCAAACGGAGGTTACAGATTCTCGATTCTCTTCACCTGGCGGGATTTGATTTTTCAAACATTTTTTTTCTCGTCGATATTGAAACAAGATAAATATAAATGGAATAATCTAGATAGAAAAATCAAGTTGGAAACAGACAGTGACAAATTGCAAGTGAAATTTTAATAAATAATTCTCGTCGCTGTCGTTATTGGCATTTGTATTTTCAGATGTAACAATTTTATAATAACAAGGTAATAGACGAAATTAAAAAAATATTTAAGAATAAAACTTCCAGTGCAAGTCATTCCATTAAAAAAAATTGTTTGTCAAAAAAGAAAAGAAAATTCTTGAATGAACGAAATAATTTCGTTGGATCGCCCAAAAAGTAATTGCGTTTTTTTCTGATACACGGACATATATGTAATGTATCTTAAAATAGTAGTTAACTTCATTTTAAACTGCAGATTCATTTTGTGATCTGACAACTGATTCGCGTTCGAGCTTGTTTTTAAAAAACGAAAATGCACGATTTCATCAACAATTGTCTGTTTAACGATTTCGAAATAAAAAGATTAAATTTTACTATTGAAGAAAAAAAAAGTACGACTCGTAAAAAATATCAAGTTTCAATTCAATTTCAAAGTACAACACCAAAAATATCCCAACTAAAAAAAAAAAGAAACGCAATATACTCGAGTTATAATACTCGTGAAAAGTGATACCTTGTTATGATATTGCACTAATTAATTTACTATTCCC